AGAAGTAGCTTCGGTACTCTCGGTAGGTCACCGTGCTGTTGGCGTGGAACGTGATGTTTTCCTTTTGGATGCGCTTCCTGCGCGAGCCCGGACGACACGGTCAAGGTCACTTCACGTCACTGCGCACGCCGTCGTGACATCGCGCGACATTTGAATTGAGGAATTCTTCATAACTCAACCAAAATAAGCCTCACATGAGGCCTTTTGCTGGCCTCATGTGAACAGCCACGAATGTGCCGTTCTTGCGGTTATTTAGCTTCCAAAAGCCATTTCTAAATGTTATTTTGCCGCTTTACAGAATGAAACCACTCTTCAGATGTTTGAGATGTAAAAAAAAAAGCAAAAACGTGCATTTTTTCTCCATGATAAAAGAAGAGAGTTTATTCTTTCCTGTGTGCATGTCGGCAAGGTTTAAAGGTGCGTGCGAAGACGAACTCTGACCTGTACACGTAAGGGCCTCGCTGCTCCAGCATGGGCTTCTCGCCGCTCAGGACTTCCTTGGGGTTGAGGACGTTGAAGAAGTAGACTGACATGTAGAACGGCACCGGGACGTCCTTCCACATACGGTACGACATCTCGTTCTTCGGGTCAATCACCGTGTTCTGCGCTCACGACACACTTCACGTTTATTTGGACTGATATATTAATGACAACAAAAACAGCTCATTAGAGTTGAATTTAAGAGCTGATTGAGAGATTTTCCAAAAGGTTTTCCTTGACAAATACCAAAACACTTTACAAGTTCCTCCATGAAATCAATGGAACTTTTAGGCATTCCATGTTTTCTTTTGTCAGTTAGTCACTTGATTCACTTTTCGTGGCATCAGACATTAAAATGAACAATAAATTGGAGAAATCATGCTGGGCTCTTGATTTGTTTTCACAGCAACATGTAGTAAAAATGTTTTGACCTGGTTGTTCTTTTTACATAAAGTGGCATGTGTTTTATTTTGGATAACTGATAACACCTTGAATAGGAAATTGATGTTTGAATATGAAACGTTGATTTCAAAATCAACATTATTAAAAGGAATGGCATTGACATCTATTTTTAAAAATAAAACATAGATTTTCAATGTTTAAGTCATTATTCATCCACATGGGAAGTTTTCAAGCAAAATGTGACGTTTACAAGCAAATGACTGATTTATTAAGAGACCACCGACTGAAAAATACACTTTGAAAAGGGAATAAAGTTATGTGTTGGAAAATATATTTTTGAAAAGAGCAAATCGTGGACTTGATTGATTTGTTGCATTCACGTGTCGTCGGCCGGCCGGACTTTGTCACCTGTGCGGCGTTCAGCGTGCATGGGAAACGCGGGTCTCACCTTGACAATTTGCTCATCGATAATGAGCGGACCCACGATGGCCAGGACGGTCCCGAATACCAACGCGAAGATCCCCGCGACCATGAAGCCCAGCGCCACTTTGCTTTTGTTCACTGCCATCACCGCCGCTTTCCCTTTTTCCCCACTTTTCCGCTTCTTGTTGTTGTTTTGCAGGATGCTAACTGTTACCCTGCTAGCCGCTGACGGCCACACGGGCCGGCTGAAGACGCGTGCGTGATCGTGATTGTGAGCGCCCAGCTGGTGTCCAGATTGCCTCACCTTCCAGATGATAGTGTTCGGACGGACGAGTTTGAGGTACTCGTCCGTCCGCCATCTCATTTATAGCCCCCGTAATCGCACCGTTTGGTTTGCCGCTCCTGCTCCGCCTCCCCGCGAGGCATTGTGGGAGATGTAGTTCACGCCACTGCGCTCTCGTATCTCCGACGAAAATCAAACAGAAACCGCGACGCTGATAAAAGACGAGCCACTTGGAGAACACTCCAAATATGAGCTGTCCCCTACACCAACATTTTAGGGAAAATTTACTTAATTACTTAGAATGTTGTATTTATTTATTCAAATGTAAATGGAAGTTTTATATGAAATCTGTTCAAATGACATTATTTTTTTAGGACCACAGTGTAAAATTACATCAGTTTACCACATTTTAAACATGTACCATTGATCAAACGTTTTTCAGTGTTGTATTGATACTATTTTTCGCAGTATTGTATCATTCAAGTCATCTAAAAGTACGTACATTAGAAGTTGGTTGAAATGCAACATTTGAAAAATAAAACACAGCCTCCGACCACCTCGCCCTCCCCCGCCTTTGAAAGTTGTTCGTTCCACCTCATCCGTCGTACACGACACCAGTTCTCGCATTTGCCCATATAAATGTCCCCAAAATCAGTGAAAGTCACATTTTTGGTGTTTTTATTAGGCTACTCCCAATAGTGGCTTTTGTATTCCAGAAAAGTACATTCAGTTTGTGTATTTTTGAGGTGTCCCCCTAACCTCAAAATCCTACAACCGCCCATGTTTTGGAGGGCTTCTCTCTCTCACACACACAGACACACACACACACACACACACACACATACACTTGCACGGATACCTTGATGATCTGGTCCTTCATGACGGCCTGGCCCACAAAGATGAGAATGAATCCGGACAGCGCCGTGAGAACTCCGGCCACCATGAATCCCAAGGCCACCTTGGACTTGTCCACGCCCATGTTGGAACGGCAGCGATGGAGATGTGGAGATGACAGATGGCTGCAGCGCTTTTCTTCAGAGGACTGAGGCGCCCGCGAGGCCGTCGCGCCGTCTGCTTTATAGGAAGGACCCCACGGACGGCAGGCAGCAGGCCTCGCCCCAGACATCCTGCGAGGAGGAGCCACCTCCAAACTTGCCAGGAAGATTCTCTCCTCCAGAAAGCAAAACTTGCCTTTTGATCCAACCCCTTTTGCTCGTTCGTAATTCATCAAGCACACAGTTCGATTGGTGGCATTGCTGATTAATCAACAGCCAGCGGTGAAACATTTCAAGTTGAAAAATGAAAGTTCGCATTCTACTTTTAGCACCTCAAATGATTGAAATCAAATCGATGGATGTGTTGCAATGGTCGCCTGTTTGACTGTGGTGCCCATTTTTTCCCAGTGATGTCAGTAAGACCCTCCTCCAAGACGACCCCTCTTCCACGAAGCTGTTGAGGCGCAGCTTCCAGCAGTTTGGCTTGCTTTTTCTTTGAAGTGGATCACGGTCAGCCCCCTCCCAGGTGGAGCGCTTACAGATGATGGTGGAGCAATTCGTGTTTCGTCCATCAGGTGTCAATTACGTTGCATTTGATGCGCCAGCGCATTCCGAGCGAAAAACTCATTTGTTGACTTGTAAACAGAAGGTCAGCGCGCTGCCTTCACAACAAGAAAAAAAAAATGCAACGTTGTGAATGTTGTGCGTGTCCTTGTGGGCGCAGCATGCCTTCCGGATGTGGTGAAATGTGGTGCGGTCATAAATGTGCCCCACAAGACCAGAAAAAGCAATCCTCTTCCCTTTTTTTTTTCCATTTTGTGGAACTTTGCTGATTGGAAGGAAGGAAGTCACATTGAAGTCAGATGACAATCACCAAATGCAACGAAAGCTTTCTTCTTGGGGTTTGTGGAGATATGTTGTGATAACATGAGCATACCTTCATGTGCCTCACAGGAGCGGTCAAGTTGACAAAGAAGGAATTTTCACTCCAACGAGCCCACACATGCAGATCAAAACAAATTTGCTCGTAGCGTGTGGCGCCTTCCAATACTCTCAAGGTGAGAGCAGAATGGCGAAAATTAAAAAAAAATTAAATCCTTCTTGCCAACGGATGTGGCCACTTATATTGAAAAAAACCCCACTGACTTCAGGAAGGACATGTTTTGCTTTCTTTACAATAGGATGCTTCCTGATTGGCTACTTTCCCTTCACCAAGTCATCAGCTTCCCCCCCACACACAATTCAAATTGTCAGCCTGACCCGTTTGGGATAGCGATACACCGATTATCTACTATTAGTGACATCTGAGGGCAAATTCTTGGACATTCTCGCATTTTTTGGGGGAAGCGGGCCTTCGAATTTAAACAAATAAGTGATAGGTGAAAACCTCAGTTACATTGAATTGTTGGAAAACTTGATTTACCGGTATGTTGCCATAATGCACTGATGCAATTGCACGATGGCATCGTCGCCATGACGAGCCGGGACGATAACATAATTCCATGGCATGACATAATAATGCGTGATATTATGTTGGACTTTTGTCAATTGTTGATGCTGTCCCAACCGCCACGAACTCCAACCCATAATGGAAGCGGTCGGCCGGCCACCGTCCCCTCGGTGAGGAATGCGACCTTGTGGAGATGCGAGGTTGACGAGAGTCGGCGCTAAAAGAACGTGAAGCGAGAAAAAAGACATTTGAACCAATCCTGCAGGTGTGTTTCTCACTGAAGGGACGAAATAGCAGCTGTTTGAAAAGTGCAGTTGTTTCAAACTACATCTTACAAGGCCAGTGATCTCATGCACGCAGTGATGGTGAGCATCCCGGCTCCTAATCATCGTCTTTGATGTTTTATGGCGGACTCTTTTGACAAAGTCTGCGGCGGGTGACGGAAGCACGTTCCTCGGATGCTCCACAAGGAGCCAAGCTGCGACGGGGTCGGCCCGATTGGCGGTCACATGATTTCGGCCGGCAAATGCAAATGCACAAAAGGGCCGAGTGTGCGCGATTGTAGCCAAAACCTCAGCATCTTTCTCCACGGATGCGGCGCATTTGTCAATGAAGGGCTCCTCTTTTAGACACTGCGCACATGACGCTCGCCCCACTCACTCATCTGACGCTGCCGGCAGGAAGGCCGGTGCGGATGCTCCCAGCCTTCCTATGTTCCTTCCTTGCTTCCTTCCTTCCTTCCTTTTCACCCTCAAGAAAGAAAAGCAAATTCCAGGAGCCACGAGACTCTCCACGACGACCAGGAACCTGATTTTGGTGAGATGGTGTCTTCCCTCAGCTCAACATTTGGGAGTCCTCCCACGTTTGTACTATTGGCAGTGTAGGTTATTATACGCAGTCAGTCCATGACTTTCTCCTACCTGTCTCTTCTGTCATTCTCCTCCCTCCGTGATTAAATTTCTGGTGCCAGGTGCTAGCATGCAAACAGAGGAGCAAGGAGGGAGGAAGTTGCAGTTAGCCAAATGAGATGAGCCCTTTGACATTCACACCACAGGGCAGGTGATCCAGGATCCGCATCCGAAATGTGTGACACACAGCAAATAGCTCCCGCGGGCAAGTTCCACTGCCAATAACAAAAAGCCGCTTCCTTCGTCCAACGTCAACCGGCGAAAACCAACAAAGCGCCATTGAGGCAGCTCGCGTGAGATGTGCCGTAAAATATGACGCTCTTTAAGAAATCAACGGAAACAGAGGAAGGCTCAGTGGAGTCAGGCCCAGCCGAGGTGTGGATGGACCTCACGCACCTCGAATGGACGCAATGGAAAGGCGAGAAAGAGCCGTGGAGCCAGAAGACATGGCGGATGTCTCGAGCAGCCTTTCAAACGTACGCATCATCACCATGCCTGGCTGTTATATTTTCCACTTTTTCTTCCATTCAAACCTACTTTGTGTTAAAAATCGTTTGCACCTCAAATTATTATTTTAACAGCTTGCAGTGCAGTCCTCCAACCAGCAGGGGGAAGAGGGAGCCCTCTCCAGTGTTAACTAGCAAATAAGGTTATTTAAGGAGGTAGCGCACAGGTGTAGGCCTCGATCACTAACGAGCTGCCGTCGCCATGTTGCTGCCTCTTGCTGCGCTTCTCTTCTGGGCCACCCTTCCACATGCGGGTAAATTTCGCAGATATCAATTTATTGAGCTTTTTTTTCTTCTCCAAATGGCCTTTTGATGACGCGTCTTTTGTTTCAGGCCGTTGCGTGCCGTTGCCGCTCCAGGACGAAGGTACTGTTAGCATGTGAGTGCTAGTCGGCGATTTTGGCTAATAGCGTGTCAATTATCCCACGCAGATTTGCTCGCTGATGCAGTCGAGTACACCGAGAAAAACCCGGAGACGCTCGTAGGCCAGTGAACGCTTCTGCCTTTTCTTCTTCTTCCTCTTTCAGTGATTAACATTAACAATTTATACTGTGGAATGCAGGAAATCACTCTTTGTCATTTATATACTCAAAGTCGCCCATTTTTGCAAGTGTGTGTGTGTGTGTGCTAATGATGTTTGCGTATAAGCGACCCCCAAAATTAACTCTTAACTCACTCAGCACCCGCCACCTGCAAAGTTAATAAGGAAAAAAAAAAAACTAAAGACACTTTCTATTAGCAAGATAAAGGGAGAGTGACTGTATGTAGTGGCATTGTTAAATTATGGGACACGAAAAGTAACATTACGGGAGGGGGGTTGTTTAGATTACAAATCAGTTGGGTAAAAAAAAAATTTTTTTTTGCAGTGTTACAATTTTAATATGGTTAGAGGGCTGTGAGTGGTATTATCTCAAGATAGTGGGAATTGCTGTCAATGGCTGGAAAGTGTGCAATTTTTTTTTTAATGTCAATTATGTCCCTTAGCTTAAAGTTTGAAAAACTGACTGGTTAACGGCATGCAAAGCTTTTCTGCCATCTCATATGGATGTTACATGGTAGCAAAGTTAAAATTTTGGATGACTGAATTTCAAGTATGTTGTGATGATCAAAAGAGGAAAAATAAACTGCTGTTGTGCAAATGTTTGGACAGGCTTGGTGGATGAAGATGTGATGGAAGGTGACATGCTCGTTTCAGTGAGTGTTTGCTAGACTTGTTTGTTTGAAACTAAAGTGTCATGAAGACCAACTGACAATGTTGCCCGCGTTCTCCCTTGCAGTATGACCGTAACGCAGTGGACAGACGGTGGCCTTCTACACGCATCCCATACACCATCGATTACACCCTGCGTGAGAGTGCACGCATACATGAGCATCTCCAACTTTGAGCCACAAGCTAAATGCTAACTTGGCGGCCGTCCGACAGGCTACCGCTCTGACGACATCAAGACTGCCCTGAACATGATCTCGCGCCACACCTGCTTGGTCTTCCAACAGCGCACTAACGAGCCTGACTACATCTTCTTCAAAGTCGCCGTTGGGTGCGCCGAGCGTCTCTCGTATTTGAAAATCTATTCTAGATGTTGTGAGTGGCTGTACGATTTCAGGGGAGTGGGGGCAGTTAATAAAATCTAAGCCAATGCTTCAGCCAAAAACGGTGAGCCAGATCAGGGAAACAAATGGCAAGATGTAAGTGGGCAAAGGGGTATACCCTGCCCTTTTTATTAATTTTTTTAAACATACATTTATTTATTCAGAGCATCCCCTTTTCTAGAGGAAGTGGCAGTGACTCGATAAATATTTCTCCAGTGTATTCAGCTCATATTAAGGAAGTTAGCCGTTTGAAATTAATGGAGCCGTAACAAATTGAAGAATATACAGAATAATTATACAATTATATTTTACCAAGATGAAAAAAAAGTCTAACCAGCATTGAAGACAGACTGCAATAAAATCCAAATGTTGACATGCATAAAAAAAAAGATGCAAAGATGATGTCTAGACGGTTGTTTGGCACGCGTGGTTTATTCGAAGTGGTTGCTATGATGCTGCAGGTGCGCCTCGTACGTGGGCTTCATGGGCGGCCAGCAGGAACTGCACGTGGGCATAACTTGCACTGTTGGCAACATCGTCCACGAGGTCCTCCACGCTCTGGGCTTCTACCACGAGCACACCAGGATGGACCGGGACAAATACATCACCATCGTGCCTGACAACATCATGCGAGGTCGGGAAAAAGATTCATGCTTGGAACTTTCTTTGCATTTGATTGAATAGCGTCTTGCTCGGCCGTCGAGCGACTCCAGCCTCTGTTTTTATTTTCAAGGACATCAGAAAAACTTCTTTATACAAAGGGGAGAAACTTTCCAGCTCCCGTATGACCTGCCCTCCATCATGCACTACGGCAGGTAACGCACGCACGCACGCGCGCTCAAGTTGACATTCTGGTGATTGAGCTGATTGTACGCTGGCGGCGGGCGCAGCACTTTCTTCTCAAGTAACGGGGAGCCCACCATCGTGGCCAAGGTGCGGAACAACAACATGGGCCAGCGCTTTGCCATGACGCCCACCGACATCCAGAGAATTCGTCTCCACTACAAATGCGGTGAGTTCCTTCTCTGACCCGGTTAGCCGCTAACCTTCCAGATTGCACTTGACTTGTCCGCCGTATTTATCAGACCAAGTGCGCGAGGTGGCGAAACTGTACTGGTGGGAACCTGAAGTCACGCCTGCGCCAGTCTACAATGTGCACGTGTTTGACATCAAAGGCCTCCCCCACAATACCACACAATCGCCGCTGGGGGGTGCCAGAAACGACAGCTCAGCAGACTCTGGTGTTTAAATAAAATGCGCAATGTGTCGTCGCTTTAATGGTGCCTTTGCTTCATTTCGTGTATAAGTCGTGTATAAGTATAAGTCGTGCGCTTAAAAAAATCAAACAATTAAAGTACAGTATGGGCACTTGTAGGATTGACAGGGTTAGGATTGCTGAGCTCCCGACCAGGCGAGGTGAATTTCACTGTTTTGTACATTTGAATGTCATATTATTGCCACCTTTATGAAAGAGCCGTAGCACATCTGGGGTAAGGCTGACTAAAGCGTCACATCTGAAAAAGGTGATGAAAATGTTGAGCCACAGCAAGAAAGTCAGATTGGATTTGGGTTATTTTTGACAGAAGTTTTAAGGTGCATGTTTCTTCAAATGTGTCGCATAATAGTTTTGCTGGCACAACCTGGAAAAATTGCATTGATTTGGTGTAGGGGGGGGGGGAATTACTACCTCACGGAATAAATTAAAACCGTCCCCATCCAACAACGAATCCAGTTTAAAATTCTTCTCACCTTCAAGGCCCTTAACAGCTTTGCTCCCTTCTACCTCACTGATCTCCTTCATCGTCACTACTCCACTTGGAATCATAGATCTGCCCTTGGCAACCTCCTCACCCCTCCTATCCGAACCAAGGACCGGACGTGGGGAGACAGACCCTTTTCTATGGCCGCCCCCTCCCTCTGGAATTCTCTCCCTCATCAAGTCAGACACTCCCCTCTTAAAACTGCACAAAAAAACCCAATGTTCAAATATGGTTTTACTCTAATACATATGTTTAACAGAATCTCTCCTTTTTTGTACATACTGTTGCACCCATATAAATTGTTTTTCTTTTTTTAAATTTCGTTATATGGCTTCATCTGTTGTTTTTCTTTTTATCATGTGAAGTGCCTTTGAGTGTTTTTTTTAAAGCGCTATATCAATAAAATATTTTTTTTTATTTGAAGGTGCCACTATTACTATTAAAAATATATTGTCCCGAGGCATATGGATGTCATTTAATATTAGTGTACGCGTCAGGTTGAAGCCAAGAACTATTGAAAGCGCACCTCGCGTTCGTGCATTGGAATTCCACGTCGTCCACTTAATACTAAAAAAAAAAAAAAAGACTCAATCCACGTATAAATGTAGACTGTCCGCCCGGCGCACTCCTTTTCCCGCGTAAAATTTCGTCAAACAGGAAACGGAAGTGGCAGCAAACCGGAAGTCCATTAATGTGACGTCCCCGCGTCGTAAACAAAACAACACTTCGTGTTGCGACATCTTCATTTGTTTGTTTGCCGTTTGCTGCTTTCACGTTGGCTTTGAGGGATTTCCACCCCGCAATTCTCGCGACGGACAAGTTCCGGCACCTTGTCTCAGCTCATGTGAGCTCACTTTATTAATTGTCGCAGCTCTCTTGAGCGCACTGTCTTTCTTTCTTTCTTATAGCTGCTCACTTGAGCTTAGCTTCAGACAAGCCGGTGGCGAGTGAAGCGTCGAGACATGGCCCAGCGCAGAGGAGTCATCAGCCTGCAGTTCAACCAGGACCACAGTAAGGAAGACTTTTACGCCCCACGCACGTATAATGACGTCACAACCTCAAGGCCTCGTTCTGAACGCATTTTAATGTTTTGAAACCAAATTGTACTTTCAACAAATAATTGTAGACTGGCATGTAACGTTTCAAAGATGAATTGATACATGCGACCGGCATTGTCTGATCTCTCTTTGGGTGAAAGGCAGTGTTGAAAAGCAGGGCTGGATTCAGAACATGTGGAGAAAAGTCTTTTCTCTTGTTTCAGGTTGTTTCTGCTGCTCCATGGAGTCGGGCGTGCGCATTTACAACGTGGAGCCGTTGATGGAGAAAGGCCACCTTGGTAGGCCTCTCACCTCCCGGCCGCTGACGGGTGCCCGACCGCGGTTGCCCGCTAACGTGGCCTTCCGTCTGCTTTGCAGATCACGAGCAGGTGGGCAGCGTGGCGTCGTGCTCCATGCTGCATCGCTCCAACCTGCTGGCTGTGGTTGGAGGCGGAATCAGTCCCAAGTTCTCCGAGATATCTGGTGGGTAACTTTTAAATCCACCGCCATCAAGTGATGATGATGATGATGAGGAGGAGGATGATGAGGGGAAAACTGGCGTGGGTTTTTAGTGCTGATCTGGGACGACGCGCGTGAGTGTCGGGACGCCAAAGACAAGCTGGTGCTGGAGTTCACCTTCACTAAGCCGGTGCTGGCGGTCCGAATGCGACACGACAAGTGAGTGGCGCCTCTTGCAATCGAATTTAAAGCTGTGCCACATGGACAAGATTTGTTGCATTTGAACTTTGCAACTTGAAACACCGGGCAGGCAATTGGTGTTGAACCTTGATTTGCGGGCTGCCTCCTTTCAGGATCGTCATGGTGTTGAAGAACAGGATCTACGTGTACAGCTTTCCCGACACACCGCTCAAGCTCTTTGAATTTGACACGCGCGACAACCCCAAAGGTGACCGCTCGTCCTCCACGCCAACTGCGTTCCCCCCTTTGCAGGTCGGCCATTTTGTATCGTTTCTTTGCCGGCAGGTCTGTGCGACTTGTGTCCGAGTCTGGACAAGCAGCTGCTGGTCTTCCCGGGACACAAATGTGGAAGTCTGCAACTGGTGGTGAGTTGCTCTTTGCGCTTCCTGTCGCCAACGACGTCCAACTCGGGCCGCGCGGTGCCGTGCGGTGCCGTGCCTTTCATTCCTTCCCCCCAAAAATGAGAATGGACCTACAGTGCAAACATAGCTGACGGCGAGTTTGGCTTACCGTCACATCTCGCCTGGTTCCGCCCTTCAGGATCTGTCCAACACCAAACCGGGGACGTCGTCGGCGCCGTTCACCATCAACGCGCACCAGAGCGAGATCGCCTGCGTGGCGCTCAACCAGCCGGGAAGCGTGGTCGCCTCGGCCTCTCGCAAGGGGACGCTCATACGGCTCTTTGACACCAACAGCCGCGACAAACTGGTGGAGCTGCGGCGAGGCACCGACCCCGCCACCCTCTACTGGTGAGAGCGCCGCGGCTTCCTGTCTGCCAGTCTTATCGACTTCCTGTTTTTGGATCAACATCCCGTCTGCTCCGTCTTGTTCCACTTCTTCTCAACGTGCTCAATTTTTGCCGTCCATTCATCATCGACTTCATTTTCTGCTTACCGGCCGCTCTTCCTGGCTGCTTCCTGGCTGCCGTGTGCTCGCCGTTTGTTCATTGAGGCCACATTTTTTTTTTTTTTGCGGCTGACCATGTTCACTTCCTGCGCGCAGCCTCAACTTCAGTCACGATTCGTCGTTCTTGTGCGCGTCCAGCGACAAGGGGACGGTCCACATCTTCGCCCTGAAAGACACCAAACTCAACCGCCGCTCCGCGTAAGGCCGCCGCGCCAGCCCGCTTCCTCAACCCTCAACCCACCTTGACCCCACCCGCTCATGTGTGTGTGTCAGGTTGGCACGTGTGGGCAAGGTGGGCCCCGTGATCGGTCAGTACGTGGATAGCCAGTGGTCGCTGGCCAGCTTCACCGTGCCCGCCGAGTGTGCCTGCATCTGCGCCTTCGGGAAGAACACGTCCAAGAACGTCAACTCCGTCATCGGTCAGCAAGCGCCGCTCGCCCCTCATCGGCGTTTTATTGCCGTCCCGCGAGGTAAACGTCAAACCTAACGTTTATTGTCGTCCCTCCCGCAGCCATCTGCGTGGACGGCACCTTCCACAAGTACGTCTTCACGCCCGACGGAAACTGCAACCGCGAAGCCTTCGACGTCTACTTGGACATTTGCGATGACGATGACTTTTGAAAATGACCGCAAAATGACGGAGCGAGAGAGAAAAGGATGCGAAGAGACGTCGAAGGAACGGCAGGACTCTGTACTCGGTCGTCATGGCAACAGGTGGACCGAGGTGTCATGCGTGTGACTGATTTGTGAGAGACATTTCAACCACTTAGCGTATCAGTCACAGCGCCCCCGTGATTGGATTTGAAGTGAACAAAGAAAGGAAATAGTTCCAATCGAACAAAATTAAAAAATACACTTTAAAAATATATATTTTATTTGATCCAATGAAAATTGACTGCCAAAATGTACTCACACATGATAATGCTGCAGCATAGGACAACTATGAAAATATCCAAACAAGAAATAAAACAGGCCTCACCCCAATGCAGAAAACGACAATTCGCATAACAAAACAAATGGAGTATTTTTCATATCCTGATCAAATTCATAGTGACCGAAACCTTTCCAACCAGTGAAAGTTCATCTTCAGGGAAGATTGATTTCAAGTTCTCATAATCCCATAGAATTCCATTTACAGCACAAAAACAAAACTCTAAAACTTTGTAAGTCAAGCTTCCGCCACGTCCCAATGAAGTGATAGTCCATGAAAGGCATTCTTTGTTTTTTCTTTACTTCAAACGGAGCATTGGCTCGCCTGAGTTTTGAACCAAGGCGGGCTCTCAGGTGGCACTTGGAGGTTGATGACCAAGAACCACGTGAGGATCCTCGCAGACGTCGGCAGAAAAGGCGTGCATGGTCTCCAAGACGAGGCTCAGGTGGTCCAGGAAGGAATTGACGGACACGCGCAGGACCCGAGCTTCGTCGGCGCGCCATTTCCTGAAAAGGTCACAAAGCACAAATAGGTCATTGGCGGCAATGTGACGGGAGAGACGCGGCTGAGGCGAAGACTCCTCACACGTTTAGTACGCTTCCCGTGAGCGTCAGCCGTTTGTGAACGCCACCTCGCCGGGGCTCGCGGTCGGGACTCAGCGAGCCAAGAGCCACGGCGGCCTGACGTGCTGATGGGAAGGGGACGTCTAGAGAGCTGGAGGAGGGAGAGTCAAGGAATCTCATTCAACCGGTCACTGCTCTATCGTCACCTGCAGTGACTGGGAGGAGTTCCAGTGTACATTTAGAATCCCAAGTACAAATACTTTACTGTAATTAGTAGAATTTGTCTCGTACTGCTGGATTTGAAAACGAGAGTACTTACATCACTTTGTCAAACTCAGAGGATGACAGGACATAAAAATATGTAAACAGAGAGGGAAAGTCATCCGTCTATGGTTGACTTCTTGACTGATCCTGTCCCTGTCACATGTGGGGTGCAGTGTGCAGTTTTTTTTTCGTTGAGTTGGTCCTTAGCTCTGATTGAATATGTTTAAAATTATTCGCCAGATTTTCCTTTTTTTTCGCGAAGGCAACATCCAAAAAGTGCAACAAGACACCGTTTGCCCAGAATTTTTCGTCCACATTTTTTGCTGTTACGGTATATGAACGACTAGATGTTTTCAGAGTATTCCTCAATATGACCCGCTCCGATTACAAACCAACGGCAGCATGAAGTTGAATGAAAAGTACATCGTTCGACGATTCAGTCTTAACTGAAATCGAAGGATACAACTCCAGTTTGCTCGCTTGGTCGTCGTTTTCGGGCACCGCCATCTTGTTTGCTATTGGAAGTCTTCTTCGTCCGAGTCGTTTGAGCACCGTCATTGTGCGCGGCTGCCCCCAAGTGGTAGAGAGGACAGCGCGCAAAACTCTGAAAGCGTTCGGAGGTATTTATTTTACGCGATTGAGTTGTATGTATGTAGTAAATATTAATTAAAAGTTTTGCTCATCTTGCTTGCTGTTCATCAACACCAAGATTTTTGGCCAATTCTTGACCTTTTTTTGTCTGAGTAGGCGCTGTCAAAATCAGCTGTGCCCGTGCACGTGTTGCCGTTTGTTGTTTGGACGTGTGAGCAGTTCCTCGAGGAAGCGCCGACAGAAATTCCTTTCAAATCTTCCCAGACACCTTCTGAAGTCACAAGACACGGTAAGGCAGGCAGGGGTCTGTTTCTTTTTCAAAGTCAAACACAACAACTAACACATAAAAGGAGGTGCCTTTTGAGTGTCCCTCGGGCGGCGAAGTACGCGTCCTGTACTTTCATAGAAGTGCAGAACCAAAAACAGTGTTGTCTAAATTACCAGCCTTTTTAAATTTGAGAGACTTTATTGTGGTAATGGTGTGATACATATTTCTAAAACAACACAGCTCAAATTGCCTTTAATGATACGTTGTTTAATGGTATCGTTAATTGACATGCATTTAAGTAAACAGGCTAGTAATGTCTGACAAGAATACGGAAACCGATACATATCAATATTCATCATTTTGGTTTTTATTTTCTATAGTGCACGTCGACTCGCTGATGGCGGCACCAAAGAGAGGCGGCGGGATACTGCGTGACCTGCAGGTGGCGCTGCAGCTGAAGATCGAGGAGCTGACGGAGCGTGACGCGCTGATCGACGAATTGGAGTCGGAACTGGACGCCAAAGAGCTCCTGATTGGACATCTGCGGGCCGAGCTGGACCGATATCGCAACTCGGCGCCGGGTGCCGACCACACCCCCACCGAGGTGCAAAACGCAGGTGGAAATGCCTTCAAGAATCTTTTCATTTTCATTCATGGGTGAATCTTTTTATTTGTTGGCTCATCAGTGCAGTACACAAGTAGAATCTAAATTCACACGCTTCACTTCATCAACAATTTCACGACGCACTTTTTTTTTTTTTTAACCCATCACATCAACAAATTCTTCACAATAAATTCTTCACAGCCACTCGTGTCTTGTCCAGGGGTTCGTCATTGTCTCATCAGTTGGCTTCCATTTCGTTTCCCAATTTCTTTCTATCTTCGTTCAGTTCGTTGCTTGTGTCTGTTCGTCAGTGGTCAGGCTGTAGAATTCCAACGAATGTGACAGTCGGATCCGAAAGGCTCTGTCTCAGGTGCTGAGCTGGAGAGGTTCCAACTCAGGCTGAGGTTGTTGTTTTTTCCGACATCCAGCAGGTGGCGCTGCAGTAATGACGGCCGCGTCACTGGACGAGCCTCAGCGTACCAAGAGACAGGCCATCTCCGCTGAACCCAGCGCGCTGGATCCCACCCAGCTCACTGACGTCACGCTCACCAGCTATTGCAAGACCAAAGAGTGAGATCCCCACATATGAAAACCAAAATTGCACAGTCTAGGAATTTTTACAAAATGATCAGCTCAGTATCTAGTGTCCGGGGAGGGATTTCCGAGGCAAGCCCAGACAACCCCGCCCACGAAAGTCGCCACTGGAGCCAGAGCATGTTGGTGTGTTTGCGTGCAGGTCCAGCGAGTTGATCCAGAGAGCGCTGATGGACAACGACTTCATGAAGCACCTGGAACACGGACAGGTGAGAATCACGCCGGCATCCATCTTGTCTTGGCTGGGACGTCCGCGCTGTTTTCCGTCCCGCCGGTCCAGATCCTCACCATCCTGGACTGCATGCGGCCCACCAGTCTGGACAAAGGATGCTGCGTCATCCAGGAGGGCGACGACGGATCCAGCGTCTACGTTCTCGAGGGTGAGTTTTGCTTCTGCCACTGATTTCTTCTTTTTCTCTGCTGTAGGAAGTGCAGTCGGTTCAAAGCGTCTATTGGCTCTATTCACTCTCTCGCTGGGTCCAAATTCACAGGCTGGGTCCTTCGAGGGCTCCTCCTCATGTCGCCTACGTGGACAACATAAAGCGAGGCCAATGTGGACGGGCCTTCAGTTAATTTGAGCTGAGAACGGAAACGTGAACGTAAAGTCTGTCTAAATGATAAATTCGGCCTTCGGAGGGCTCCGAATTCGGACACGGCTTGTCCAAAGCCCAACATGGCGGACCTCAGCCAGGGAGGAGGAAGACATGCACCTGACAACTTTTGCGTTTCAAAACGATGGTGGCAAAATGATCGGCCTTCAAAATAAAGCCGTTGCTTGTCCCAAGCCCAGATCATAACGGGCGGCTTAAGTCCCGCGTAAAAAGCGTGGCTGACGCCCGACAAGGACACACCCAAAATGACGTCTACATTTTTACATTTGTCATCCATCAGAGGGCATGGTGGAGGTGAGCAAAGAAGGCAAAAAGCTGTGTACCATCGGCCCCGGAAAAGTCTTTGGCGAGCTCGCCATCTTGTACAACTGCACACGCACGGCCACGGTGACAGGTATTTGATATCTACCGTTCTGTAAAGCGCTTTGTTCCAGCTGCAGCTGTTGTGAAAGCGCTATATAAATACAAATGTGGGTGTGTGTGTGTGTGTGTGTGTGTGCGCGCGCCCAGCGCTGACCCACATCAAGTTGTGGGCCATCGACCGTCAAGGCTTTCAGACCATCATGATGAGGACCGGCCTCATCAAACATTCCCAATACACGGACTTCCTACGAAGGTAACCTGAACGTGATAATGCCACACGCTATGATGCCTTAGTGACGTCACGCCTCCTTGCCGGTAGTGTTCCGTCTTTCCAGGCCCTTCCGGAGGACATTCTCAGCAAGCTGGCTGACATTCTGGAGGAGGTGACTCTGGACCCATCTGACACATGTCAAAGGTCATCTCTGATGATGTAACCTTGTGTATGTGTGTGTGTGTGTGTGTCTGTGTGTGTACATCAGACTCACTACAACAACGGCGACTACATCATCCGGCAAGGCGCCACAGGTGACACTTTCTTCATCATCAGCGAGGGTCAGGTGAGCAACGCCCACTTCCTGTCTCCATTGTCCACATGGGCTGCACCAAGGTTATCGCAGTTCACAAAAATGGAACGATTGGGGGAAAAAAAAAATCGTACATCAATTCAAAATAAAAGCAGAAGTTGAAGCCAATGAAATGAAAAGAAACAATAAAAAAATAAACAAAACGTGACGTAACGTGTGGACAAGCTGACCTGATGAAGGAGCAAAACAAGACCAGCATGATGGTGACGGCAAAAATTTGGGCAAAAGATTTAAAAAAAAATTAGATTGAATTCCACCAGACTTTTGTCTTGTATCTGCCAAAGGTTTTCTTTCAGTTCTCATTTTATGTTCTTATTAAAACAAAAACAAAAAACAATGCTAAAACTATTCAGGTCAACTAACTTGATGGCTTATATGAGTGAATCACAACCAATTAATTGGTCAGAAAAATTACTTACAATAAATCCCGTATCTTTCTCCATCTATATCTGCCAGGGACTTAATAGTGAAAACCAAATAAAAGATTGCAAAAAGTATCATTGTCATGTCTATCCAGTTGGTTTGGAGGTACGCTGAGATTCTTCAATTCGGTGTGCACCTTAGCGATTATGAGTGTGTGCATCCTATAACTGAAAAGAAAAAAAAAAAATCAACAACCCAAACTATTCCAACCTGGGTGTGCAGGTGAACGTTTGGCAGCAGAGTGCCTCCGGCGACGAGCAGGTGCCAGTGAAGACGCTGTCGAAAGGCGACTGGTTCGGCGAGCAGGCGCTAAAAGGGTGAAGCGGCGCCGCACAGCCGTGAGCGACGGCGCCGTTCCCGCCTTCCAACTTTGCCCCCTTTCGCCGTCTCCGCAGGGAAGACGTGCGCACAGCCAGCGTGACGGCAGAGGGCGCCGTCACCTGCCTGGTGGTGGACAGAGAGTGAGTGGTTTGCTTTTTGAGGCGGGGGGCGGAGCTACGTGGTCGCTCGTGTCGGGGAATCCAGGTGGAAAATTTGGAGATTGGTGATTTTCTTGCCGTTTTCGCATGGATGCGGTATTCTTTAAAACCTTTATTTTGCCACAAGTTATACAATCCCACAACAACAAACACAAATCCACTTAAAATTTCTTTTTTTTTAATCCCCCACCAATATTGAATGACTTTTTAGCCCTAGCAATGTGGCTAGCTAGCCATCAAGTATGACATTCTGAAGGCGCATACATCGGTTGTCATGTTGTCTCCGTGGCGCGTTGGTTTCACACGTCTCTTGTCCCTCAGGTCCTTCAAGCAGCTGATTGGCGGCCTGGAGGAAGGCGACACCAAGCAGAGTGACGACGACCAAGTCCAATCCAAGTGAGCGGCGGACATCACGAACTAGCTAGCAGCCGCCGCGCCCAACTAACGGCAAGCTAACAACATGCGCGCAGGCGTCCGGCGGAGGACGACTTCTTCTCCAGCGTGACGCTTGACGACTTCCGCGTCGTCTGCACCTTGGGCATGGGGGGCTTCAGCCGCGTGGAGCTGGTGGGTGCGTGTGCTTTTTTTTTTTGCGGCGCGCTAACGGGCTTGCGTGTGCGGTGACCCGCGGCCGGGACCCTTTCAGGTGCAGCTGAAGAGCAACGCCGGCCGCTCGTTTGCCCTCAAAGTGTTGAAGAAGCGCCACATCCTGGACACCAGGCAGCAGGAGCACATCCTGTCGGAGCGCCGCATCATGATGGAGGTCCACAGCCCCTTCATCATCAGGTCACGTGATAGCGCAGATAACTCGAAACTGATGAGTAGCACAGATTTGACTCCTTGACTTAATTTGTTGCCTGGCAGCTGTTTTCAAAGCAGAGTTGCTCAAATTCAAATTCCCAGCAGCCTTCATTCAACATTTTGACTGATTGTTTCAGGCTCACAAAATATTTTGATCTGTGACAGTATCAAGACAGAACCTGCCATAAGAGTCGACATTCTTCCTTCACCCAAAAAAAAAAATTTTGGTTCCAGCCTTTTCCATTCTTCAGTGTTAGGTTGCTTTCATTAAAAACACAAGTTTCTCACCCAAAAAGTTAAAAAAAAAAAAAAAAAAGAGGTCCTGAGAAGAGAAAAATGTCCAGCAGAATGTTTTTCGCTTTTGCGACAACTAAAGCTGTAAAACAAAAACAACACCTGCAAAGGATTTTTGATGGCAAACTTTACAAATATGCACCCACAAACAATCCCACCGCTGATTTTGAATGACAGTAAATGTGTCGCTCACCCGCTGCAGGTTGTACCGGACCTTCCGGGACCCGAAATATTTATACATGCTCCTGGAGGTTTGTCTTGGCGGTGAGCTGTGGACGCTCTTACGAGACAGGTGAGTGTCGTCGTGACGTCACGTGATGGTCTAAAGACGAACCAGCTCAAGGTCTGGCAAGGACCTCGACGCAATGTTTTTTTTTTTTGGCCACATCACAAAGTTTATTGAGCTATAGCAGCACATTCCCCAAAAGACCACCGTGTTCTTTGGGAGACCACCACATCCCGTTGTTTTTGTGCCACCAGGGGCTCATTTGACGACGGGACCACGCGATTCTACACGGCGTGCGTCATCGAGGCTCTGGCGGAGCTCCACTGTAAGGGGATCATCTACCGGGACCTCAAGCCCGAGAATATCATCCTGGACCACAGAGGCTACGCCAAGCTGGTGAGTCCGCACGGCGCCGGTCAACATGATGACTGACGGAAGCGAGCCGTTGTTTGGCTGTTAGGTGGATTTTGGCTTCGCTAAGAAGGTGGGCCTGGGGAAGAAGACCTGGACCTTCTGCGGAACTCCCGAGTACGTGGCCCCGGAGATCATCCTCAACAAAGGGCACGACAGCTCAGCCGACTGCTGGTCACTCGGGATTCTGGTCTTTGAGCTTCTCAGCGGAAGGTCGGCGCAACGACGTCTCCGCCGTTAGCGTGTTAGCTTCAACACGTCATTCACTTCCTGGTACCGCAGTCCGCCGTTTTCCGGCTCGGACCCGATGAAGACGTACAACATCATCTTGAGGGGCATCAACATGGTGGAATTCCCTAAAAAGATCACCAAGAGTGCCGCCAACCTCATCAAGAGACTTTGCAGGTTGTGGCTGAGCAGAGATTCAGAAAACTTCAGAGTCGTGATCCTTCTGGTGATTTTGTGTGTGTGTGTGTGTCAGAGACAACCCCTCAGAACGTCTTGGGAACCAGAAGAACGGCGTGAAGGACATCCAGAAGCACAAGTGTGTAACACGATGCGTCTTTCTGATTGGCATTGTTGTTATCGCAACGTCTCCTCCTCCTCGAATCAGGTGGTTTGAGGGCTTCAACTGGGACGGCCTCCGCCAGGGAACCATGGACTGTCCCTTTGCGCCAAGGGTGAGCGGTGGCGATCGTGTGCAGCATCAAAGGCGTGTTGTAGTCACGCCCCTTTTCAAAACACCTCGGTTTCATGAGCTGGAAGGGGTTTTGGATAAAAGTAGTGTGGGGGTGCCAGCAGCATCTATGTTGTGTTTAGTTTGACGACGTCATCAATAGCGCATTTTTTTTTTTGGCCACCAGGTGGACGGCCCGCTGGATAACAGCAACTTTGACGACTTCCCCCTGGACACGGAGGGCCCGCCCCCTGATGAGGAGTCAGGCTGGGACCTGGAGTTCTGACATTGCATGCAAACAGCGAGTGAAACGCAGTCGACTTTCTGGTCTAGCCAGGTCAGTCTCTCTCTTTCTCTTGGTTACATCCAACAATTAATTACACTATTTCGTTTTTGTATTTGTGTGTGTTTTTTTTTTTTGCAGAACATGTCAGTTAGATTTAAAAAAAAAAATGTTTCGTGAGTGCCATTTTCGTCATTTTTCTGCCAAGTTTATATCCTTCCGCAAAAGTTATTTCAGTCTTACCAAGGAGGGAGGAAAAAAAAATAAAAAATCAACCACACAATGACATCATCTTTAATATGATATTCCTCAAACACCACTGAGGACACGTTAAGAAAATGACATTTTCAACATTTCCACTCGTCATCCAAGCCCTTTTGTTTTTTTGTCGTTCCGCAAATTTGTCACCTTCTGTACGTTGGATGGCTATTACATCCCTTCCTGACATCACATCAGAAACGTGAACACATTTAGCTTTTCACAGCCGCAACGAAAACGCACGATAAATCCCTCTTTTTTTTTTCTTCTTCTCATTGATAAGCGACCACGTTCACACCCAAAAAAAAACAAAAAAACCCCCAAAAAGGATGAAGAGTTACCGTACATTTCCGCAGCGCCAATAGTACATTCACCCCCAGCGAGATGGCGATTAAACAGCGTATCTTCGATCGACACAGTTGTAACTTTAGTGGCTAAAACCTGAGTTGTTCCAACGTACGTCTGTTAAGAAAACCGCACAGCAACGCACATTAAAAAGAAAAAGAAAGTAGACGTCATTGATCCGATCGGGAGGATTATTATCTGCATGACTGAAGCGATGCCAGATTCTTACACGGACACAAAGGGTGGATTAGTCATGGATGTCGACAGTGGATAGAAAAAGGCGACTCAGAATAAAATAAAATAAAACGAAAAATCTGTGAGGGAAAAATAAACGGAACTTTTTTTTTAGGGGGGGGGGGTTGTCAGTGTGCTGACTTCCATTAACCCTTTCATGCCCCCCCCTGCAACCTGGTAAGCCGTCCACTGTAGTCAGCGCTGTCCTGTTGGTTAATTTTGAACCCAGGCAAAAGCCATTTGGAAGAGGCCATGCACGCTTGTGCAACCACACAATTTCTTTTTTGTTGAACTTTTCCTGCATCTTAATTATCATTTTGAGTTCACCAAATCCAGGCATTTGAACTGGGGTGTGTAGACTTTTTATATCCACTGTGCGCAACCGCACATCCGTCGCAACCGAACGGTGACCTCAATGGGCTTTGTACAGATGACTTTTTAAACACGCCAAGTGAAAGAAGCAACAAAGTCATCCTTTCTTTCTTTCTTTCTTTTTTTTTACCTGAATTCTTTCAGGGTCCTTGTCCCTTTTCCGCCGTGGACGCCAAGTGAGCAAAGCGTCCAGTCACCGCAACGCGAGGAACATTCTCGTCATCTTCCGTCACAAAAGGTCCTCGTAATCCAACAGTTTGGAGTGCTGACGCGTCTTCCACAGGCGGTAGAGGCGGAAGTCGAAGTACATCTCGATCATCTCTTTGCCTTCACAAGTGAGAAAAGTTGTTTGATTCATTCATACTTGGGACACGTCAGCAGCGCCTGGAGATTTTTTTTTTTTTTGCATTTGTGCCGCTATCCTGATTAAAATGAATTGGAAGTGCCATTTGTCTGTTCTGGAATTCCCAAAACACAAGAAACATTTAATAAAAGAAAAATAGCATTCTATAATGTCGTACTTTATACTTGACAGTGTCAAAAATGTGTTAATATGTCATGTTTTGGGCTTCGGGCCTATTCTTGCAGTGTTTGTGGGTCATGTGCTGCCCTCTGCTGGATAGAGTTGTAATTAATTTTTGTGTGCGCGTGAGTGTCGAGACATTTTTTTGCATGTACTGAGAATGCGAGTATCTCGGCAACTCATCACTTAATAGGGACACAAGTCTGCTTCCATAGTCGTGCCACGTGGGGACCAAAACTGGGCTTAAACTGGCCGTGGATTTGCTCGCCCGAGAACATTTCTTGTAATGTGATGCCAACACCCACCCTGCGCGGAAAGCTCCAGCGGCGACTCGAACTCCACGGAATAAGGCCTCATCAGATTCTTCAGTTTCTGGAACAGCTGTTTGGGCACAGATAAAAGAAAGCAAAGGCCGTTTAAGCTCCTTTTACACTCGGATACGCGCTCAGCAGGGAAGACTGCTTAAGAGTGTGAGTATGTCTGATTGTTTTAGCGTGTGTTGCACCGAGCACATACTTGGACAAGGACAAATGGAGTTAGCTATTGCAAACAAGATGTTTGACCACAAGTTGCAGGCGTCATGTCGTTGTGATCCTTCGTTGGGTCGTCGCTGAATGTAAAATGTTACCCAAAATGTCATATTGTACTTAATGAATTCCTTGTACTGATTTTGAGTTAATTTCAAGACATCTTCCCGAAAAAATTAAAGTCTTCAAGATTTTTTGTTTTGTTTTTGGGGGGGGGGGGAGTCTTGAAGCAACTGTGTATGTACAATGTTTGACAAGCTGGAAAAAACACTGATCCCGCAGTCTGTCGTTCTTCGTGTTGCCAGACAGCCCATCAAGCCCTCCGAGATCCAAATTGATGTCACGTTTTGGCAGACATGACTGGGAAGGACACAAATCCCTGGCCTGGGTCAACGTTTGTTGGCATGCGCACGTCCGCGGGCGCCATTTGTTGTCTTTCACCGTTTTTGCAGAGTGAGATGCATCCAAGCGCCACATATGGAAAGGGTCCAAAAAGGGACCAAAGCCAATGTTGGGTTATTTATACCCGGCGCAGTGGGGTTGAGGATTTGACCCAGTTGCATGACCATTTTCCAAGAAGAAGAGCAAGGAAATTTCAAGACATCTTCCCCCAGGGTTGAAGTTAATATGACAAAATTAAAGTGCTCAACAGTTTTTTCTTTTTTTTTTGGGGGGGGGGGGAGTCTTGAAGCAACTGTGTATGTACAATGTTTGACAAGCTGGAAAAAAAACTGATCCCGCAGTCTGTCGTTCTTCGTTTTGCCGGACAGC